CTGGCAGAAGTTCTTTGCAAGACTAACGGCGCATGCTTCGTAGACTCCAATGCTCCAGGAGGAAGTGGGCTGGGTGCTTTACAACCTGGCCTTCGGATTCATTCCTTCCCCATTTCTTCCTGGGGCTCTTTCCCACCTAAATCCTTTACAATCATGTATGTCAAGACTGATCTAGCCACCTAGCCATACTATGTGTGGCCTGAAAAGACAGGAGGGGAGAAGACGAGGGCTGAGGTCCAAGACGGAAGGGAGTATAAGGCATGTGATAAAGACAGGCAATAGGGAGCCAGCAGGTGGTGTGGAGGTAAAGCTGTCGGACCCATATGGCTGACTCCGTGGTTCAAGTCTGGGACCTGGTGGCTTGAAAATCATGCCAGGCACATGTGTGTGCGTGCCCAAGACTCAGAGGAGAATGGAGGAGAAGGGATTGCAGCATGGTCATCCCCTCAGGGATTGATTTCTCACTTTCTCTCTCTCTTACTCTCTCTGTTTCTTTCTGGCAAGTGCAAGCACCCTATAGAACAAAACAGAACTTTTAAAAAGATGGGGAAATAGGACGGAATTGGGGAAGATGGGTATAATGATATTGTATTGATAATGTATTAAGGAAGGTCGTGTGACCAGTGTTTCTTTGAGCTACAACCCTTCCTTCCCACTCTCTGGACTTCTGGTTCTTGCCAGCTAACCGAGAGACAGCGTTCGTACACGCCATCAGTTCTGCTGGAGTCATGTACACTCTGACGAGGAACTGCAGCCTCGGGGACTTTGACAACTGTGGCTGCGATGACTCCCGTAACGGGCAGCTGGGTGAGTAGCAATGTGGGAGAGGCAGTGGGCAGGTAAGTGCACTGAAAGGGCGGGTAGCGGGCAAGGGGAGAGTTGTACTCTGCATATGAAGAAACTCAGGCGGAAGCTGGGTGATCCAGTTAGAGCCCACACCCTACAGTGAAGTCAGGCAAAATGTAGCTAGGGGTCCTCTTCTCCTACAGTGGTTTCCTCAATATGCATAATCATGATATAAGAGTGAGCTCCCTGCACCTCAGTCTTCTGTTCCTTCTCTCAGATGTGCTGCCAAGTCCCATCTAGTTCCACTCCATCCCTCCTGCCTTCTCCAAACCTCGGTACTCCCGCCGGATTTCCAATTTTGTTGTTCCATATTATTTCGTTTTTAAAAATAATTGTTTAATTTTATTAGTCATTAGTTTTAGTTTGTATAGGGCATGTGCACGCAGGCAAGAAAGAGAGAAAGTGAGAAAGCAAGCTGCCAGGTCCAGGGCTCCAACCACGGTTGGCCATGTGAGTCCAGCACCCTAACCACCACCCCTCCTACTTTATTTCAATTGCTCCCCCTTTTCTCTTAAACTCGAGCATTTCTCACCTCTTCTGCGCCATTTTGTTCCCTCTGGACCGCAATCACCCGCCTGGCACGTGCACCCTCGGCCCCCTAGGTAGAGGCACTGTACTCAGTCGCCTGGCAGAGAATCCACTCGGTAACTTCCTACGTCATGGCGCTCCGAGGAGGGGATTGGCTGAGGCTACAATGGGCCCGCAAATGTGGCAAAAAAAAAAAAAATCGACTAAAACTATTCCAGATACTAGGCGATCGCTTAGCCTTAACCTTCCCTACCCTGGAGCCCTCAGAACAAATCAAAAACAGCCCACAGGACTCTGCACCCACATTTTCCATAACCTTTCCTCCCCTGCACTTGTCCAGGGGGCCAAGGCTGGCTATGGGGAGGCTGCAGTGACAACGTGGGATTTGGAGAGGCAATTTCCAAGCAGTTTGTCGATGCCCTGGAGACAGGACAGGATGCCCGGGCAGCCATGAACCTGCACAACAATGAGGCCGGCCGCAAGGTGAGTCCCGCAGCCCCCTTGGGATTAGAAAACTGGTTCCAGCCAGTACCAGCTTTAGGTAACTCTTCAGTTCATTTATAATAATTTATTGGTTAAACGAGATATCGAAAGGGCTGGCCAAGACGCCCCGGGACCCCTCAGGGGCAGAGGTACGCCACACGCTTAATCCCGGGCCTCTCACTCATAGCTCTTTCTCCAGGCGGTCAAGGGCACCATGAAACGCACCTGTAAGTGCCACGGCGTGTCTGGCAGCTGCACCACGCAGACCTGCTGGCTGCAGCTGCCCGAGTTCCGCGAGGTGGGCGCGCACCTGAAGGAGAAGTACCACGCAGCACTCAAGGTGGACCTCCTGCAGGGTGCTGGCAACAGCGCGGCGGGCCGCGGCGCCATCGCCGACACCTTCCGCTCCATCTCCACCCGGGAGCTGGTGCACCTGGAGGACTCCCCGGATTACTGCCTGGAGAACAAAACGCTAGGGCTGCTGGGCACGGAAGGCCGAGAGTGCCTGCGGCGCGGGCGGGCCCTGGGCCGCTGGGAGCGCCGCAGCTGCCGCCGGCTCTGCGGGGACTGCGGGCTGGCGGTGGAGGAGCGCCGCGCCGAGACCGTGTCCAGCTGCAACTGCAAGTTCCACTGGTGCTGCGCTGTCCGCTGCGAGCAGTGCCGCCGGGGGGTCACCAAGTACTTTTGTAGCCGCGCAGAGCGGCCGCGGGGAGGCGCTGCGCACAAACCCGCGAGAAATCCCTAAGGTCTCCGCTTCCGCCTTCTTTCTCCATTTGTCCTTGGCTTTATTTAGAGACCCCAGTAATAGAGGGACCTAGAGAATGGGGACCCTGCACTCCCAAGCCCAGGGGTCGTGAGAGGGAGAGACTGCAATCCCTCCAGAGCTTGCCACTTTCCTACCGTCTTCCCCAAATTCCTCTGCACTGTCCTAGAGCTCTCAGTTGTCCTCACAGCCACACTTACTAGGTCTGAGAACTCTCAAGATTTTGAGGCTCCCCCTTGGTAGCTGTCCAAGGCCTGACATAGCCTATCAAGCCTCAGCAGCCGGAACTCCACGCCGACATTCAGGGTCTAGGCAAAGCCACGGAGTTTCTCTTTTGCCCACCGTCTCCTGCAGAGTCCATGCCTGCCCTGTCCCATTCCCTACTGTTGCCAGACTTCCCGGGAATCTCCAAAGCTTTCTCTCTCTCCTTCTTCCCCCTCCCCTTCTTAGCTGGAAGAGAAACTAAAACTGACCTGGGAGAAAAACATGCCTTTGGGGTTGGTTCCTTGAGGCAGAGGTGGAAGATGGGGGAAGAGGGAAGCCTAGAGTGCCGCTTTGCCAAGCACCAAGGGGCTCCTCGTTCTGGGATCCCACCTCACTAATGGGCTTTAGCAGGGGTGATGTCCTCCCTAGACAGTCACCCAAGATAGTCCAGGCATACCCAGAAGGTCCAGGACCTCTGTCCCTCTAAGGCTTAGGTACTGGGAGCTTGGTTCCCACTGTAAGGTTGAGAGGAGGTGGTGTCCAGATGATGGTGGCACCTTGCTTACGGGTGGGGTAATGCCATCTGGAGGGCATGGGTTAGTTAGTTCCTTTAGGAGCAGGTAAAAGTTAAGACGGTTGCCAAGGCGGTCATTGTCTGTAAAGTGACTTCTCCCTGCTCAACTTCCTCTTCTCCGCCCCCATCGTTCCTCTGAGCCAAGACTGAAGAAAAGAAAGCCAACTCCCATCGGACCCTAGTCCACGCCTCTAAGGGCAGGTCATGGGAAGGAGACGCTGAGCTCTTTCCTTGCACTGGCCTGGGTCTGAAAGAGGCAGGGTGAGGGCATTGGGGATCTTCTTTCATTTTGTAAACTTCCTGCAATAAACTGTGGCTGACAGGAAGCTCAGCACCTTGAACTTTAACTTATCGCAGTCGTTGTGATATGTGCCTTTCCCGGGGTACTGAACTTCTGGGGGTGCTGGGGTGGGTGAGGTCAAGGATATGACCTCTAGGCTCTCTTCTGCCTCCAGCCTTGGAAGGCTACTTCCCCATAGATCTTGGCTTCTATCATGACCTCAGTAGTTATCCTGACTTGATGAGGCGAATCTGCCAAGGGCTAGTCATGAGTCTTCCTGTAACACTCACCTCGGCGAGAGCTTACTGCTTGTGGCGCTTGCCTCTGCTGGTTCCATTCTCGGAAAGCAGTGGTACAGGAGAGACTTCCTTGCTCACGAAATTGGGAGACCGGGAGGGAAGAGCCAGTCCTTGACAGACCCTCTGTGGCCCAAGGAGCTTCCCAGCCAGCTCGGGGTGTGAGGGGTTCTTTGGGGGCAGAACTGCTCAGATGCTAGTCCACCCCATCCCTCTTCTAGCACAGGAGCAAGGGCAGAAGTGTGGCTCCAAGGAGGTCATGGAACCAAGGCTGTAGGCGCTGACCTCTAAAGGCAGAAGGGCTGCCATATTCCAAATTGAGGCAATGGCCAGGTCAGACTCCAGACCCCCGGCCTCACCCCTCCACGTCTGGTCCATGAATACTTCCTGAGGGGAGGGTCCTCTTCCTTACCAGGGGATGCACTTCCCTTCAGGGTCTCCTAAGTCTTTGTTCCAGCTCTCTCAGCAAAAGGCCCTTTGCTCCTCCTCTCAGCTTCTCTGGGCCTCCCACCTCATCCTTCCTCCCCAGGAAGCAGCAACAGGTACCAACCTGGCTATTCTACTTGGCAGAATTACCTGACAGTGTTCAGGAAGAAAGTCTAGCAAGGCAGCTAGAAAATATAAAAGTAGGGGCCAGCTCTGGAGATCAAGTCCTGGACCTGGTGACTTGAGAAACACACCAGGTGTGTGTGTGCATATTCGTGTGCCCAAAATCCCAAGAGGAGAAAAGAGAAGGAACTGTGGCCTGGCCATGCACGCCCACCCATGGGGGGGTGAGTTCTCACTTTCCCTCTCTCTGACTCTTTCTGGAGAGCACACACACCTTATGGCAAACATGTGAAAAGAAGAAAATATGAAAGATGTTATCAGTAAGGCTGCGTTCTCCAGGAAATCTCTGAGCATAAAAGCAGAACTGCTGGGCTTCATACGCATTAACTCCAGGTCAGTTCTCTAAACAGCTCATGGGCCAGAAAGTTCTCACAGGTTGTTTTGTGCATCCACATGGATATGATTAACACCAGGTTCAGGTGAGTTCTGTAAAGAAAACATTACTGAGCTGCCTTAGCTCCGCATTGCCCCACCCCCATTACCCATTCATTCATCTGCTCATTCAGCAAGCACCTCAGGGCGGACGGAGTGGTGCAACGCAGCCACGTGCTCGCACTCGCGGGGTGCAGGTGCTTGGCTTATACTTGGTCACTGGGGCTGTGTCCCCCTCTACAAATGCAGACAAGTCCTGAGCCGTGGTTTGGGAGGACATCTTTGAAGTCAGCTAGTCAAAGCTTTTATTTTACAGATTGAAACTGCTGCTGAGGAAGATGGCTGGCTCTTCGCACCCCTACTGAGGTACTGTGGGGTGAGTACCAGAGCCCAGGGCCCTTCCCCGTGTGCTCTTCAGGAGCCCATCTGTCTCAGCTAGAGGGCAGAAACAGAGGGAGGTCCTGAGAAGTGACAAGGACACTGTTTGGGGTGGGCAAAACACGGTCTCCTTCCTGTCCCTGGCCCGTGAGCCTGCACACAGGCAGGGCTTTCTTTTCTTAAAAAGAATGCCAGCCTCAACTGGCCTTCCCAGCAGGTCGGGGCAAAGACAGAGGCAGGGTCGTCCTCCGCGCTGGTGGTGCTGGTGGTGGTGGGAGGGGAGGGCAGGCCGGGGCACTCGCCTATTGTGGGTCTGGATTGGATGCTTCCACTCATTCATTTCCTTTTAATTAACCCGCATTCCTGGAGGAGAAATATTTATGTTGGCTCCCATAGAGGCAATCCTCAGACTGGAAAGAAGGGGGAAGAAAGGCTGTCTTAGCAAAACAATATCTCTAAAGAGCTCCAGAAGAGAAAATAGGCGAACAAGATGCCATTAAAGTAGCCTTCTACCCCCACCGGAGTCAATGAAAACTTCATTTCACATGCTAATCCGCCACTCCGCCCCCTTCTCTTCTCACAACACCTTTCCCGAAAGTGTTTGGGAAAAGTCTTCGCAGTCAGTACACAGCTCCCTGCAGCTCAGACTTCTCCTTGTGTTAGTTCAGGGCCCCAAGTGGGGCTCTCGCTCCAGCAGCGGCTTTTTTCTCCCCCCCTTTAATTTAAACAAAGACTTCGGAGTTCATCAACCTCCCACTGAAATTCACAGCTGCTGAACAAACTAATCCCCTCTCCCGGCCTTTCTTCCCTTCAATGGGCTCTTGGCTTCAAAGACACTTTGGGAAAGGACTTTGCTGGGGCTCACACTGCTTCATCAATAGAAGTTAGTGCAAGTATTATCTGAAGAGCAAGTGGCTTTACAAACAAATAGTGCCTAACAATCCCTCCCTCCCAAACACACACATCTAGCCTGCAGACATGATGGGATCTACAACAGGATTAGGGCTAGTCCCCCTGGCTTCACACCCAGCCCCTTTGTGCAGCTAAGCACAGCCCTGAAGCGGTGTGGGGGAAAAACCCCGGAGCTGAACGTCAGGCACGGATGGATGGACACACACACACACACACACACACACACACACACACACCAGAATGGCCAAACGTGCTGCAGGACTGGGTCTCGCAGCCTGATTCAGTGGGACTGGACACCTTCTAAAATCGCTTGACATCAGCCCTCCTGGAGCCTGTTCCCTTTCTCCCTAGGGTGCCGAGTGCAAGGACTAGAAAGATAGATAATGGCAAAGGAGGAAGGAGAGGAGGCAATGACTGGGAGATGACGGAGAAACAAATCAAAGCAGCTTTATTGCACCACTGAGTGCATCAGTGCATCCATGCAGCATTCGACCACAGGGACGCAGGCAGAGGAGGTAGCCCTGAGACATGTGCAGCTGGGAGAAGGCCCCCCCCAGCCCTGAGAAGCAGTGTTGGGGTTGGGGGAGCCTTTCCTTAACATGGCTCCTGTTCCAGAACTGGGCTTACAACCACAGAAAGAACAGTCCAGGGCCTTGGGCCAGAGCTCAAACACAAGTGGAATGAAGGGCTGTTCCCCTAAGCTGTGGTACCTCTGCTCTCATCTCACAGTCTAAGCTCCCAGAAAGGCATCTCACCCATTCCACCTAACCTAGCCTACCCTAATGTGCCGGCAGAGGAAAAGCTTCATTCCTAAAGGGCCAAGGTTTCCACTCTTGGGTCTGGTCAGCTTCCATCCTTCATATCCGGGACTTGCTCAAAGGCTGAAGAGCTCCAACCCCTGGGGCTACAGAGAAACATGAACCTGGAAATATAAAGTCAGGGGCAGGGAGCAGGGAAGGCCAGGTTGTAAACCACAGAAGGGAAAAACCACAGACCCACGAGATGGATTACAGCAGAGGTAGACTTGAAAGTACGATCCATTTACCCTTTCAGAAGCCACTTAAACAGGACATCCAAGGGCAAAGCCACTCTGCCCAGGCCCTGTCACAGTACAGTAAGAGGGAAGAGAAGACCTGGCCCTATGGCTTGCCTCTGGGGCTGAGCGCGTCTCGGGTGCATCCTAGGCCAGGTGCTCAGCTGGTTTGGGGCCAGGCTACAACAGCGTCACGTACCTGGCAGCAAGGGAAAAGAGTTGGGAGCAACAAATAGAACCTGTGTGGAAAGTCCCTTTTTCCACAGGAAGGAGTTAAGTAACAGCAGAGTGGCTTCCTGGAAAGAGGGGCTGCCTGGTTTGCCTTAGACTTGCAACTTATGTGCGATGGTGAGGACAGCCTTCAAGACGGGCATGAAGCTGGACACCTCGCTGAAGCTGCTGCAGCCCACCACCTGGGCATGCGCCGCCAGGCCCTGCTCAAAGCTTCTTGCTTCCACACATCGGGCAACCTCGTGGAGCCCCGCCAGGACATGAGGAGAGAGCTGTGGAAGGACGGACCCCTAGGTTAGTAAGCCCGACCCAGTCCCTATGCTAGCAGCATGGCAGCGCTGAGAGAGGACGGAGTTCTGGAGCCCCGACCAGGTGAGATGTAGGTTTCTGTAAGAAACCCAGCTCAAGGAGACCTATGGGAAGAAAAGACACTGGGCTTCCTTTGGACATGCGTGACAGTGGAAGGGCAGGAGGCAGAGAGAACTGTGAGGTGTACTTACTGTCCTCTCACAGAGCTTCTCGTACAAACATTCCAGACGCTGGGCTGCCTCCTCCAGCTTCCTTTTTGTCTTCTGTAGGGAGGGAAAGGGACTTTGACCCTAGCCCCTAAGTCTGTGCCTGCACAGGGGCGAGAATGGCTTAATGCTACTTCCTTCATCTCACAGAGCAGAAAAGGGAAGCCCGAAGAGACTGAGGCTTGCTCGAGCTGACACAGCTAGTGAGTGAATGGCAGGTTTCCCGCTCCCGGCTTCACTGCCCCAATATCCCCGTGGCCTTTAAGTCTCAATGCTGCTGGACTCTGCTCCAAGGAGCTGCTCTTCAGACCAGACTCTGAGTCCCTCCCTGATTCCACATAGATAAGTACAAGATACAGAGAGGGACTGGTATCAGCTGAGGGACTGGTCTACAGCTGAGGGGTCCTGAATCGTCTTGGGGAAGGCTCAGACTTACTAAGTCAGTTGCAGCCAGGGAGCAGCGCCGGAGGAGCGCCTCGAAGCTGTCCTTCAAGGGCTGATGCTCTGGAGGCAGCTCCTTCCTTCCTATCTTCTCAGGTGGCAGCCGCTGAAGTTGCTGATGAAGTAGCAGGAGGAAGGACAAACAGACAAGCTGTCCTCATAGCTTCTCAAAAGACTAGCCCTTAGTCACTCAGTCATGCTATCCTGTCAGAGCAAGCAGAGCTGGACAGAGGGCGCCCTCCCCTTCTCTGCAATAAGGACTGGGAGCCATCCTCAGTTTCTGTCAGCTCAGACCTGCCTCCACCTTGAGGAATGCTGCCCATCTCTCATGTTCCCCCTTTTTCTACACCCAAGGAAGTTTAGAAGGTGTCCCAGAGGAAGGGAACATGTTGTCCTTGTCACCTGTAGGCTGCATTCTCCTGGAGCTCCGGGGGGCGCATGACTCACAGCAGAGGCAGGCAGCTGTGAGGGAGGGGCCATAACTGGAGCAGTAATTGGTGCTGGGGGTGTAAATGTCTCCGGCAGCTAGAGAGGCAGAGAGAAAGGCACATTGTCAAAGCTGAGAGACGCTGTAGGCCCTGGCTTAGGAGAGTGGCCGAGATTACAGTGAGTCAGGAGACAGGGCAGTGAGTGGGAGCCAGGAAATGGAAAGAACAGTGCATGGATGTAGGAGGAAGGGGAGGTTGCTGAGGGGAGAGCAGTGAGGGCAGCCTGTGAAGGGGAAGGACTGGGGAGTTAACTATCAAAAGAATGTAGGTCACTGGCAAATGTATGTAAAAAAAAGGGAAAGACAAATTGACCTTTTTCCTCTGGAGAGTTCCCCTGGGACCCGGAGCATCTTTCCAGGAATCTTGAGGTCCTATGAAGTAAAAAGACAGAGGTGTCTGAGGGTCACGGTCAGAAGCATTGGAAAGTTTTGGTTTGAAGGCTGGAAACATTTTAATTGAAGTCCATCATAGCTCCCTCTGCAAGCCAGCCACACACCTAGCTCACATTCTCCAACCCAAGAGGCTCGGGTTCATGGCCATGAGGAAACAGAGTTCCACAGTAGTAGTGGGAAGGGAGGAAGAGGGCAGTAACCCAGAAGTGGGACGTCACAGGAGACTGACCTGGATGAACAGTCAAGATGCCTGTGGCTGGGAAGGCGCTAGAGCATGGAGTACTTGGCCCTCCAGGAGGGAATTCCACAGGGAAGCTGGCAGGAGGGGCTGGGGGCTGGAAGCTCACAGGGCCAGGAGCTGGTGGTCTCACAGGAAGCAGAGGGAGCAGTCTAGGAGGTTCAGGCAGGGACGCAGAGCCAGGCTGCATGACGGATGTGGATGCCACAGGCGGAGGGGCACCAGGAAGAGGCCATGTTCCAGGGAACCCCACAGGGTTAGGAGTTTGAGCCCTTTGCCCTCCTACCAGCTGTGGCTGAGAAAAAACTGAAGTACAACAAAAACAGGTCATTTCGGGAACCAGCAATTAGCGTAATGGCTATGTCGCTGGACTCCCACGTAGTCGACCGCGGTTCGTGTCCCGGACCCGGTGGCTTAAAACTCACGCCGGGCGTGTGTGCGTGCGTGCCCAAGATCCCGAGAGGAGAATGGAGGAGAAAGGATTGCGGCGTGACCATCCCCCCTGGGGGGTGATTTCTCGCTTTCTGTCTCTCTGTCTCTCTCTGTCTGTCTGGCGAGCGCACGCGCCCTACAGTGAAAATCTCTCTCAAAAAAAAAAAAAAAAAAACAGGTCATTTGCTGTGAAATTTCAATTTGAGAGGGACTTTGAACACATCAGAGAAGAATAGGGCAGTAATAAAAAATAAAAATTAATAATTAATTATTCAACAGAATTGTTTCTATAAATGTATCAATTGTATATTAATTTATTATTATAAAATAATGATCATTTATTATTATAAAATAATAAATAATACATGTATTTGGAAATCTATACCTTACATAGTACTTTTAAAAAATTATTTATTTAGGGACCAGCAGTTAGCGTAATGGCTATGTCCCCG